ATATATATATATATATATATGGAATAATGATCGAGTTTTCAGACTCTTGTGTTTTCTAAACTCTGGACATTGTGGACAAGATATTTCGGCTTGATATCATCAGTCTGACAGTGTTTATAACACAACCGCATTCATATAAATGATTGGACGTCGTACGGCGAGCGTGACGAGAAGCTAGGTTATGCAAAAGCAACATGCACATACCAGAAATTATCGGAAATCACACGAATTCTGAATGCAAGAAATGGTTGTTACACCTAACTTTGCTGTGGCGGCAGTCTACAAGACGATGTTGCATTTTCTCTATATTGAGCACTCTCTGGTTATAAGGAGAACGATCCTTGAATTCTCGAAGAAAAAACTAACACACCGTGTCTCTCGGGTGGCTATACTATTGCCGTACCACTAAGTCGCTCCCACGAGTCATTTGGACGTGATGCATTCGATTGTCGTCAAATCAACATTTTAACCATTCTCTAAAGCTGACGCAGCGAAGCTGCTGTAGCTTTTTGGTCACCGACCTTCGTTCTATACTAAAACCAGTACGAGTGTAGCATATTGTCATCCGTTTACTTCAAGAGTACCCACAACACTAACCCAAGGCAAATACACTCTTTCATTCAAAATGAAAATTGTATTTCTTTGTTTTATGTGCCGCAAGGCCGCCTACGTCTAAATCTATCGGTGTTCATAACTTGATAGATAAATTTGATTAAAATGCATTAATACTGGCAGTCCGGCCACGAAATGACTTCTTGTTAAACAATGATCCAGTCTTAAACCTCTGGACCGTAACTCCAATTGCGCAGTTTGATGATTGCATTCGAAGAACGATTCGTGTCGGTATCTCCCACATGCCGAGACTATCAAAGATAGTCAGCATGCTGAAGAAATCCGAAAAGCTAGTAATGTTATGCTCCTTCACCGACTCGGCTCGTGAATGAACGATGGTAAATGATGTCGACATGCTGCAATCAATATCTGGTACAACGTAAAAGATACGCTCCTATTTAGATGACCTGGAAATCCGATAATAATTTTGAAATACTGTCTTATCTCCGTTGCATCTAACAATTTTTCACCCTGTCCTTCTTTATCCTTGGGAGATATACCCAGCAAATCCAGGTTTCAGTAAACGAGTGAGTCAGGACACGATTTTGTCAGACGGGTAGGCCTCACTCGCAAAATCGCGTCCTGACTGAATGATTATATCACCAAATGTATAACGACGAGCAGGACTGTTAACTGCATAGACAAAACACCTTTGCATTCACCTCAAAATTGACGTCGGGCTGCAGCTTGCAAATAAAGCATCAAATGACACCCTTGACGAGTTTCTGAGTGCTGATACTGGCTTGTGATTTTTTTAACGGACCAGAAGACAATCAAAGCAAGTTACTCTTGACACTAAGCCCCATAGATACATTCCGCATCGAGAGTATGACCATGTCAATCCGCTGCTTGTCTAGTCAACCCTCTATCGTACCGACTTGCTGTGTTAGGGATAATTACAGTTGCCTTCGAGTCTCGATGTTGACCAAAATGTTAACTATACGGCTAAGTGCTCTTCTTCTACTAAAATGAAGGATGACCCGCTTCACTATATAGTTATACGTGATGACGAGCTACGAATTGTGGGTCCCCCACAACGATGATTTGAAGGGAACAATATAGTGTGCGAGGTGCATGATACGGCGGTGGCCGGTCACTTTGGCCCTGAGAAGACCCACCAGTCTCTCAATTTTGGTTGTCCAAATGTACAAGTGGGTTGACACGACACGAAATGCCACCAAAAATATACGCTCTGAAATTCGTCGTCCTTACGCACAAAGCTACGTACTCTGGGGTCATATTCTTTGGTGGATGGTGTCCACCAACTCACCGCTGAATTGTTAAATCTTGTCCACCAATCAGATATTAGTATTTTCGCCGCATCATCATTCTTAAATGCCAATGTTTTGGGGCCATTCGCTCAATCACAACATAGAATGCGCTCGAAATTCGCTGCGTGAGCGCCTTTCATAGGAGAAGACATTGCTAGACTCATCACTTATAGCTTGCGGACCGCAACTCTTGTTTCGTGACAATGTGTGATAAGTAAGCTTCACAATCCCAAAGTAAAGGTTCACAAAATATGATTGCCAAAACTGGACCAACTATGTGCAGTGGGATAATAATACTTCGGGACAGGGGTTGCAGATGGAGCTTTTACAATGACGAATAAAGCTGAGCTGTCAATCAGGGTCTGTGGAAAAGGTGGGCTGTCCGCCTTACGCAGTGTATACCATAGTGTTCTCTTGCGTCAGACTGTGAAATAGACCGGTGTAGCACTTCTTTCAGCTAGCCTTGACTTAAGGTATCTTTTTAGATGTCAACAAATAAATTACTTGTAGCTCGAGTGGTTGGTTTATCATCAGCTGATGCATACAAACACATCTTTTTAGCGTTTATCAATGCGAAGTCGCAGAATCAGAGTCTCCATATTTTGTGATGCTCGAGTAAAAATCGTCGCTTAATTCAGTTTTGGTCAACTCTCATTTTAGTTGGTCAAGAAAGGGTAGCTTATCTTGCGGTTCGTGGCCAGAGGTGATTGTGGCTTACCTGGAGGTGTTCGCTGACTATGACAATACGTTATTGCAGTACCCATAGGAAAGGCAAAGCCAGCCGTCAATAAAAAGATTTGCCCGCTCAGCACACCAATATCGAATGATAAGCATTTGGCTCTTTATGGTAACGAACGTAACCCCGCCCCATTTTACACACAAAAGCTTGGTACTTTCATGAGCGCAGCCAGCGCACCGCGCTATGTTTCCCAATCTAGGATATGCCAGACTGGTTAGCTATTTAAAGTAGCAATAATACTTATTTATTCGAATAGAAGTATTTCGTACACATGCCGCTCGCGTCAAAAGCAGTTAGTATCGCATTGGATGTGAGCCACAACTTCCTATACACAAATGTCGGTATGGGAGCAAAAGAGGAAGATTTATTGAGTGCGCAACTGGCAATGGATCTAAGTTAATTTGATGAACAGCTTTTTTCTACTTGCTGATGCTAGATCTGCAGGAGTATCAGGCAATGATGCTCTGTGTGATCTTCAGCCCTTGATTAAAAAACACAACGAAGGGTCGAGCTCTCATGAAGGTCGATCGACATACCCTTCTCCGGAAACTATTGATTTTCATTTGCGCAGACGGCCTACTAGATGAGAGTCAACTCTTTTAATATCTAACGGTGATCGAGGATGACAATCTTTAGACAAGCAACGCCCATTAAGTAAGGTTTATTCATAGGCAAGCTCTGTGAAGCCATGTCATGCCGTTGAAAGTTCCAGAGTAGTTGTGCAAACATGTTTAGAAGTAAGATATTTATGAAGGCATGACAAGTATGTACATCTAATTCCGTGATTCGCAGCGGAGCAATACGGAAGGGGATTCAATTTCCCTTTGAGCCTTATCACTATATTAGCGAGTAGCGCTGATTAAACTTTGACCTGGTTTTAAATACGATATCAGCCTTGAGCAAAGCAAAGGCTGGCTGTAAGCCGGAGTCTCACTGAATATATGCCGTGTAGGCGTATAACTCAACTTTTAGCTGGGGGTCCAGATGATGCATCTCTCATGGCGGAATAATACGAGTGTATGTCGCGAGCTTCAGGGTTAAATATGCTAAGACGAGTAGAGGTCGCATTCAGCAGGGTTCTCCAGGTTTTCCATGCAAATTCTCGAGGGGCCAGAATAAGGCAACGGTTTTTACTTGCTTTAAAAAAAAAACAATCAGGCGCGGTGTTCCGGGTAAAAAACCTGTGGAGATACTTTGAATTGTTCATAGATTTTGGCTCCGATTTTATAAACGGTCTTTGTAAAGTGACCGTACATCCGTGTCAGATGCACCATTCAACGTACTTACAATACAGATTATCAAGATGTTACGAGTTTGTGGCAAGTGACTGTAGCCAGAAAATCGGGTTTCTATTTGAACTTAATGGATATGCTCTTGATATAGCACAAGAAACTATGACTTAGAGCACTGGTGGTGCTGTACTTTGGTCTTACGAGTCATAAACATTTTCGCTGCACTATTGAAAGATATGAGAAGCGATAAGTGCTATAGCTCGAATGTTGATGAATCTGAATGTTTCCGAGCGCGTTGACACCTTGGCTTTGTCGAAAGGTCTGGTGTAAATACAGCACGGATTCGCTTGACACTCAGTAAATTACGGAGAGGGGGTCTATACGGGTCTCTAGATCGTAGACTCACGGCTCAGTGATCGCTATAGATTGGTGGGCAAAGTATACAAATGGCTAAGCTTCTTTATACAATCGAGCTAAACTTAATTTTTTGCTGCATGCTTCGTCTTATTGACCTAGATGTTAGCATTGTAATAGTAAGGGACTTGAAACATCTTTATGTTTAAGCACTCCCAAGCACTTCCGGTGGTAGGAAGACCCGTAGACTAATAGAGCAAATTGTTGTAATTTGCTGCTGCCTATGATATCGGCACAAGGAGAAAACGAGTAAGCTAATTTAATCAATGTTTTGGTTCAGCATAGCAAATACTTCGATCCGTGTAAAAAAAATTGGAGCGAATTTACTTAATGAACATGGCATCTAGCTGGAAATTCCAAAGCAGATATTACCAGCCACTTTTGCACGTCCCGTTGCAAAATTAGTACCAGCCGATCTACTTGGGCTTGGGTATAAAGACTCGCTAATTCATGATTTTACGTGCTGTCATCAAAATCAAGCTCCAAATGAATGTTCAAAACAATATTTATGTTGGTTTCACAAACACGTGTTTACCAACAACATGCTTTAACGCGTCATCTCGTGCATTGATGCAGTTGTTTGTGCAAATATCCACTTTCATCTCTCGTGTTATGCACGATCCTGGAAGAATATGCTATCGTAATAGGCTTGTCTATCACAACAATAGAACTCTGTAGACCCCAGCTGAAAATTTTGGATTGGTATGCTTGTCTGTACCCGCTGAGACGAAAAATACGGTCACTTTCTTTTGTCTTGAGGTCTGCATACAATTAACTGCTACCACCACAGGATACGTAAAGCTCAATCTCTATCAGTAGACCACCAACGAGTACTCCAACGTAAGACATTGTTAGGAAGAGTTTATGAACCGTTTTGCGTAATAGCTCATTCGTTGCATCTCTTAATCAAAATTGAGGGATACACAGGACGTTCATGTCAAGACAGACTCAGGTGTAAGGAAAAAACTGATACAAAGGCGCTACTCAGTAACAAAGAGGTCAATCTGTTCTTATTCTACTAGGCCTTACTATTCATTGCATCTGGTACGCTCGATGAGCCTCAACCTCTCGTAAGCCAGTTGATCATTTCAATGGCTCAGAATCGCATTTGCCGAGACGAAAGCCAAGAAAGTAAAGGAATTTGTCATCCTGGTTGTACACGATGCAAAGTTGAGAGCAGTAATGCCATTCATCGTGATGATAGTTTTTGCAAAGCACGATGGAGGGTAAAAGGTGTAGGTACAGTATGTGTACCAGATGGGTGATTATCAAGATATTCTGCCTCACATAACCTCCCAAGCAGTTTGATGACCTTGTTCGTCTTCCCGCATCTTCTTGATTAGTAAACCGTCCACATCAACAACGTTTTTTTTGATACCGAGGTATTACACATAAGGGCTTATTCTCGTGCGCGATCCCCGAACTTTGAAAATTGCAAGTGCGACACGCTGTGGCTCCGTTTGAAACAAGAGAAAATCTATGGACAGCTCAACCACTTTCTTCCAGAGGAAGAGATATTTCACCCGTGCCTAAAGACCTTAACATATAGCATCTGCAGTACTCGATGCAAGTTAGTTATCCCTCCTCGGCGCGCTCTAGGCGTGCCTACCAGTGCTAGTGGGCGTCTTCAGACACCTAATGTTTTTTCATCTCTGCCAATTCCCTGGAACCATCAGAACCCAACATAGACAATAGCTTGATTAGATAGTCTATTTGTCTGTTAAGTATTTCAACAGATCCATATTTCATAGTCCCATTGCCAAAGAGACAACAGTCTTTCAACGACTCATCGCGGGATTGACTTCATGTGTTACCAAGTGCAACGAGATTCACGTGTACTTTGCGCAGAGGAAGTTAAAACTCTCGGAGTCCGCGTTTACAAAAGCTCAGAGGCTGGAATCGTGCTCTCTCACGCCCACACTTTCGCAAGGAGCGAAATCAAGATCTTTTATGATATATAACACCAGTTAGCTGCGATTCATACATCAATTTCCCATATCATTTACTAAAATAATAAATTACTTCCATACCACAATCTCTATTCCATTATCAGCCTAAATACCGATATTTCGGTACTCATGGGTATCTCATACAATTATACTAATTGTACTAAGACGGATACAGTGTACCCCTTCTTTTGTTTGGACAGCATAAACATAACACTTCGAGTATGTTAATAAGTGGCTACCACGCCATTGGTCTGCCGCTACCGCATAGCTCCTTTCGGCGCTTTATTTACGCAAAGAAACACGAAGCAAAGAAGGACAAACCCGAAAATGTCAATGGCAGCTCCGAGTCTATTCTAGTACCTGGGCGTACCGTTTATCTCGTGAATTTACCATCAATTGCTTCGAATATGTGGTTACGCGCGTGTTTGGAGCCTCTGGGGACAATTCAAGATATAATTGTGAAGAGTTTGGAGCAATTGCATGAAGAAAACGACAATAGCAATGATTTAGGCAATCGGTGGACAGCGCACGTAGTATTTAAATCAAAGGAATCGGTGGACAAGCTGCTTCAAATAGACGTGTTGGAGACGCCTGTGGCAATTAAAACGTGTGGTTTGCAAGGTTGGTTTGCTTCTTATCATTACAATATATAAATGTATCTAAATACTTGTTTGTGCGCAGCGTATACATCCAAGTATCATCAGAATCGTTCAGGATTTTCCGAAATTAAAGAAATAGCTGATCGGTATATGGCATCGTTTGATGAGATGGAAATGACGGATTTACGTCGTCGGGAGGAACTTAAGAATCAAGTGGATGAAGATGGATTTCAAGTAGTCGTGAATACTAAAAAGCGTGGATTTATACAGTCGGAGACACTGACAGCTCGACCTGCTAAGAAAGAGAAAAACAAAAAAGTTGAGAATTTCTATCGATTTCAAACACGCGAGAAGAAACGAGATCGTACGTTCTTGATATCATTTGCAATATCTAAGGAAAAGAAATTGATTTTATATGGAATACAGAGCTCAAGACATTGCGTGAGCGTTTTGAAGAGGATCGACAGATTGTTGAAAAGATGAAGAAAGCTAATAAATTCATTCCGGAATAAAGTTTTGTTCAAGAAATAGTAATCAAGTTGATTTGATTGTAGTATACTATACACAGATTAGACTTAAGTAACATGTGTTAGTTAGTGCAACTTGTGATGATAACTTTACTAAGATGGACGGTATCAGTTGAAACACGTTCACGATGGAACTTCCTGCAAGTTTAGGGGTTTCCATGCACTCTACCGCCATGTGTTGGGCAGCAGCAGAAGGAAATTTAGAAACTGTCCGTCGTTTGCGGGAGGAACATGGAGCTGACGTGAACGCTTGTGACTACGATAAGCGGTATACTGGCACTTCATTTGTACCATTTTGATTCTCTTATACTAATATCGTATGAATTACTAGTACACCATTGCATATCGCTGTAAGCGATGGACAAATTGAAATAGTAAATTATTTACTACGATGTGGAGCTAATGCCGAGGCACTTGATCGATGGGGACGCTCATCTATTGACTGTGCCATCGAGACAAAGAATGTAGCCATCTTACGACTTTTGGAACGTGCAACATACGGACGTAGTAATACAGTGTCACTATTTGAGGTGGATAAACGAATGCGGGCAACAAGCGAGAGTGAAGGATTGAGACGGTTTGTGGCATATGCAACACATGATGGCAATTTTTCATGAAACTGACAAACATTCATGGTGACATAATAATTAGGAGTCGATCAAGTCCAGATATTGCATCATTTTTTCGAGCAATTCAAGAAGGAAATACCGAGAAATTGAAACGAGCGTGGCTTGATGGCATGGAAGTGAATATAGCTGATCATCTTGGACGAACATCACTTCATATTGCTGTGGAAACTGGTCAGATAGGTGTGATTGAATTACTTTTATCTGCTGGTGTTAATACTACAGTTGTGGACAATTTGGGACGTTCACCTATAAGTATTGCATTGGAAAAACAATATATTGCCATTGTAGACATTTTACGTAACCATCAAAAGACGAAATTCTCAAGTCATGAGGTAAAAAGCAGCGAAAATGCTGATGAGATTGCACATGCGTTTCGAGTGACGAAGCGAGGAGAAATTGAAAAACTCAAGCAGCTTGTACCAGCAATTGTACGACCAGATATGGACGATTATGATCGTCGGACATTATTGCATATCGCTAGTGCTGAAGGGCACGTCGAAATTGTCAAATATTTGGTTGATTGTGGTGCAAATGTTAATTTACTTGATCGTTGGGGATCATCGCCACTTTCGGATGCCATGGATTTTGCACATAATGATGTTGCAAAGTTTTTAAGTGCTAATCATGCAACAGAGAGTGGCTTTCGTGCCACTGTTGCTGTAGACCATATTGACAGTACCACATTAACTGGTGCATTAGAGTATACACTTCGAGTCATTACACGGGTAAGGTTGCAACAGAAGAAAAAAAAGAAGTACTTTGTCTTAATTTGGGTACATTTATTTCATATAGGGTCCATGGATAATGGGTCAAGGACATTGTCCAATGCTGGATGAAGACAATAATTGTATCTTAATGACACACAGTATTTGGCAAAAAAACTCACGTATCGATCCTCACTCAAGTACTTTACAATATAGCGCTGGAATTCAAAAGTATCGAAAAGTTTCGTCAATGGTCATGTTGGATCCTGGTCAAGGATTAATTGGAAGTGTCTTTAGTAGTCAACATCCTCAATGGCTTGATTTGCGCACTTCTCATCAATCACAATTCTTTCTTCTACCACATGCTCGAGTCGCTGGCTTTCAAACGAGTCTTGCTATTCCAATGATTTGTAAAATGTCAACAGTAGCAGTTTTATCTTGGTATTCACTTCATGCATTATCAGAAGATCAACATGAAGTACAACGAATGCAACGTCTCGTTCGATCGGTTATGATCTTGTCATCACTTCGTCAAGATTATTCAAGCTCAATGAACTCAAATGGTCATAATGGACGTATCTCTCGATTTCAATTTTGTCAGACATTAGATAATGCCATCACAGCTAATGGTGAGCTTACAGACACGTCAATTCAACGCGAAGATTGTAAGTTTTTCTTGTACTTTTATGCTTATTTTGTAGCTTACCAATACTGTCTTAAATATCTGTGTAGTGGACGTTTGTGACACGATACCACTTGCTCTCGAGTGGAAATTATTTGATTTGATTGACACATTAGCGACTTCTATGAATAGTGAAGATCACGCTGCGATTGTGCCAATTTTACGCTCTCTAGTCTTTTTACTACACAATGGACTGTTTGATCAAGCTTTGCATCAACAATCTCGACACTTATCACTTAAGCATGTGATTGAAACAGCAAATGGTAAGATTCGAACCAAATCGGACCTCATTGGACATTTAAAGTACTATCTCCAATATTTCTACACTGTGAGTCCAACGGAAGCCGAGCTTTTTACCGAAGTTCAGGAATTGTCTTTACGAGTGGAGAAGGCGTTGAATGCTCGAACTCCTGATGACAAAAAATCAACTTTTGATAGTACGTTAACGAATGAAATGGAGAGTCAGGAAAACGAAGCGAGAGTCGAACGGATTGATAAAACTGAGTGCGTCTTATGCAAGTACAAGGTCCCAGGTTAGAATTGATAGTTTTTAGACGCTCCTTCTGGATCGATTGTGTGATTATATTTTTTATGCTTCAAATTATAGGTCACATTCATCCAGGTCTTGCACCTATTCCAGCAGATCTACAACCTCGTGAAAGGATTTTATCTGTTTCAAAAACGTCACATTTAATGCACGGTACAGTTGACGAAGTTTATTTCACATCAAGTGGATCTCTGAGTTTCTATTTTATGATGGAGTAGGCAAGAAGTTTTTTGGACAGGCTGACAATCCGAGATCACCCGTTTATCGCCATATTGAACAGGTACATTTCGATCAACGATTTGATTTTTATTTTCTTCTTACATTTGAATGAATACTTTAGCTCTTGGAGCGATTGGAAAATGAATACGATGCTTTTAAGCGCAAGATTGAGTTGGCTAAGTGTTGTGATGGGTCACAAACGACGGTCATTACGTCAAGTGACTTGTACGATGTTATTGGTGCTGCTCACGAACCTTTGAAGATTGATGGATATGCTTCGCGAAATTACTCACGAAAAGATCTACTTGATGTCATGAATGAGATTATGCACGATACGTCGTGTATCATCTCACAGAAACAGCTTGTTGCATTGCATGAGCGACTTCTTTCGACTTCAAGTGGACAAGCAGGTGTCTTTCGAACGGATCTCGCAGTCGGATATGCTTCGTCTCGGATCTATCGTGTGTTTCTTCCTGCTGAAGAGATAAACGACGCTATAGAAATTTACATCAAGAGACTCAACGATGAAACGCGTTGGACGCAACGACCACTTCTTCGTGCTTATTATGCATTCGCAGTTCTCGTGTTTTATATTCATCCCTTTCACGATGGAAATGGACGTTGTGCACGATTAATTGGAAATTTAGTCGCCAAGAAACTCGGATATCCATTCTTGCTTCGTGCTTCAGACAAGACAATTCAACTGGTGGAATTTCTAGAAAAAGCAATTGTGACAGTTGAAATTCTTCGTAGTAGCCGTCGTCAGACTCGTCAGTCACG